AAATTCCAAATAAACTTTGTCACCACTTTTGCAGGTTTCACTCAATTCTTTGGGACAGACAGAACCTGGAGACCAGGACCCCAGCACCCAAATCTCAATAACAGTACCAAAGCTGGGTGTGTTGTCAGGTGAGTTCTCAGGGAAGCCACAAAGCTGCTGCAGAACTCTTCCTGCTTTTCTGGTAGCAGCAGCTCTGGCTCTGTTCCTCTTGAATGGTGACTGTTTGGGGGCTGCAGCATGAGCCAAGCAAGTAAATACAGTTCCTTCTCCCAGAAGTTCAGGGACACTGAACCAGCTGAGCTTACTCCTTCTCTGTGGCGTACATCTTCTTTCCACACACTGCTGGGCCCGAGAGAGCTGAACACCTAGCAAGAATTTCACCAGAGGGCTCCACAAGTGGCGACATGCTGGTGTCCTCATGGGATTCCAGGGCGATGACAGCCTCGGTTTCTTCAATCCTTCAGAAACCTTAGTTCACACCACTCGTGTTGGGCCTTTGCCGACTGTTCAGTGCTTGATAAGCTCATTATTCTTCTGTGGAAAAAAATAAATAGAGAAGGAAAGTTAAGGGAAGCTTTTACTGTTCTGGAGGACAGGGAGACAGGGGTGCATGGGTAATGGGCTGTGACTTCCAAGTATTCTCCAAGTTTTTGTAATCCAAGGTTTGGTGTGTGTGTGTGTGTGTGTGTGTGTGTGTGTGTGTGTGTGTGTGTGCGCGTGCGCGCAGGAGTGTGTGTGTGTGTGTTTACGTACATTTTTAGGGGTCCTGGGATTATTGGTACCACCCATTTGAGATTTTCCATTGATTTTTTTTCCAATCCATTTTATTTCAAGAATAAAAAAAAAAAGAAGAGGAGGAAGAAGAAGAAGAATAAAAAGAAAAACTACAACAAAATTTCAAAACATGAGCCAGGGATATGGCTCAGCATCTACCTGGTAAGCGCAAGATCATGAATTCAATTCCCAGTACCAAAATAAATAAATAAAATTTCAAAACATCAGTTAGGGGGCAACAATGTAGATATATTGCACATTGTCATTCCCAAATCATTCACCCAGAGCACAAGATATCTGCATTCAATTGTCTCAACAATACCAGCATGAATGTACTTTTTAAAGCTGTTACAGTCACAGAAGTTCCCTGGAACTCAAGGAATTTCTTTTTCTATTTTTTTTCTTTCTTTCTTTCTTTTTTTTGTCTTTTTCCTTTTTATCAGTACCGGGGATCGAACTCACGACTGTCTGCTTGCAAGGCAGGTGCTTATGCCGCTGAGCTAAATCTCCAGCCCCCTTTTGTTTTGTTTTTTGAGATGGTTTTATTATGTGGTTCAGCCTGGCTTTGAATTTTCTATGATCATCCTGTCTCAGCCTCCAGGTGTGAGTTACCATGCCTGGCACAGAGATCTTAAATTTCCTAAGCATGGAGAAAAAAGAAAGGGACACGATAAGAGAAAGGAGAGGAACATAGATTAGGGCCAAGGCAGAGGGCCAAAAAGCCCAGTGAAAAGCCAACTCTAAGTGCCTGGGGATTCAGTTAGTGGCACAAGCAGTGGCCTGGCAAGCATGAGATCATGAGTTTGATCCCTGGTACCAAAAAAAGCCAACGCTTTGCTGGAGGGCTCTCCCTGAGAGGGCCTAGATGTCAAACTGGGAAGACCACACAACAGGAAGAGCAGGGGGAGGAGGTTCCTCAGAAGGGATCATATCCAGGAGCCTTTTGAAGATAATTCCTGCTGAGCAGCCCTGGGAATCTTCCAGTCACCTCTCCAGCACTGAACTCTTACCTTCTACGAGCTGCAGAGGGAGGCCTGGGGTTACCGAATTTACAGTGCAGATAAGGCACAGACAGCCCGGTTCTGAGTCCTATTTTCTCCTCTAATTCCTACCTTTGCACACATAATGTTTTAAATTAATTAATTAATTATTTGTGGATCAAACTCACAACCTCGAGCTTGCCAGACTAATCCCCGGCTAAATCCCTAGCTGCACACATTATTTTTAGGGGCTGTTGATTTCCTTACCTGTGGAATGGAGCTATCATAATAGCTACATGATATGACCGGCTGAAGGGTTGAGATAATCCATTAAATATACTTGACACGCTAGACTCTCACAAATAGCTGTTCATTTATATACATATCAGTGTTAAGTATTTTGATTCATATTGTTCCCAAAGTGCCTTTTCTTTGCTTCTCAAATCCTTCCCACTTTTCAAGATCAACAAAGGCTTAAAATACAATAAAAGGCTAACATGCAATAAAAGTATGGAGGCTGTACAGAGTATAGTTTAAGAGCAAAAACTTGGGAGTTGGCGAGCTTAGGCTTAAATCTTGGTTCTTGGTAATGCTGGGCAAATTACTTCATTCTCAGTTTTCTCATCTGTAAATTTTCTCAACTATTATAGACAGCTAAGTTAGGTAGAAATACTATAGGCAGTCTGGCAGGGACAAGGACTCAGCACAGAAGATGAGAGCATATTACAACTATGGCTGGAGGTGCATATGATAAAAGACAGACCTCAAGATAAACACAGAATAGGCTGGGTGTGGTGGCACAGACATGTAATCCCCACATTTCAGAGGCTGAGGCAGGAGGATCACTGTAAATTCAAGGCCAGCCTGGCTACATAGTAATTTCTTTTTGTTTGTTTGGTTTTTTTTTGGTCTTTTTTCATTTTTATCAGTACCGGGGATCGAACTCAGGACTGTCTGCTTGCAAGGCAGGCCCTTATGCTGCTGAGCTAAATCCCCAGCCTCTGCTACATAGTAATTTCAAGACCAGCCTGAACTGCATAGTGAAACACTGTCTCAAAAACATTAAAAAAAAAGATAAAGACTGAATGACTAGGTCTACATGCCTCTCTGAAAGATAAGAAATAAATTGAAGATTGTACTATAACTGGCATTACCTAGTCCAATAAAACCTAGATAGATATCAGTCATCTAGGTGGGTGACCAGGACCTCCTGATCCATCTCTTCCTAAAATGGGCCTTGCTCTTTTTATGTACACTTGCTATGTGACTTATTTCTTCATTGGATCAATATTATCTAAGTGGCTACACTTGTAATCTTATTGGTTGATAATAATTTTGACCAACATTGTATCCGTCTTGTGATTTTGCTCTAGAAAAATATCTGACACTCAAAGGGGAAAGGTTACTTAGCTCACAGTTTGTGGGGGTTTCAGTTCATAATTAGCTGGCTCCAAGGAAGGGTGATGTGGCAGAAGACCATCAGTTCATGGGGTGGGAGAGGTGGTAAGAGTTATGAGCAACAGGAGCAAAAGGGAGGAAAACAGAAGATTCAGTCCTTTATATTGTATAGGTCACATCCATCCTACAGAGGGTGTAGCACTCACACCCATAATCTCAGCATTGGACCATGAATCAATCACAAATTCTAGAAGCCTGCCTCTATTACTGCATGAAGGTTTGGGAGGGGCGAATCCAGACACAAACCATAACAATTCATTCCTTGATTTTTGGGAACACAAATTTGGCCTATCTGACATTAGCAGGTTGGGAGTTATTTCATTTATATCATAATCACTTGCTTCAGAAGGTCATGAAGACAGGAGGATTGAAGGTGTGAAAGTTTAGGAGCACTTACAAGGATATTTGGAATGGAGCTGGTGCTATTTCAGTGCATGGTAGTGTTAAAAACTAGGTTCTGTTAAGACATAGCACACAAGGGCTAGGGATTTAGCTCAGCGGCATAAGCACCTGCCTTGCAAGCAGGCGGTCGTGAGTTCGATCCCCGGTACCGATAAAAATGAAAAGGACAAAAAAAAAAAAAAAAAAAAAAAAAAGACATAGCACACAGCAGGAAAATGAACTGTTAAAGGTGGCTGTTATTTGCCCTCTGCTCTCCATAAAAGGCAGGGATGGCCACAGTTAACCCATCTTTGGCTTTAGCCCTTGATTTGGTCCATGTTTCCTGCTCATTAGAGCAGCTAGATTAAAATTAACCAGGGGTCGGAGAACTGGAAAGAGAAAGCCATCCATGAAGGCAGATATTTAAACTGCTGATTGGGCAAGAGATACAAGCACTGACTCAAATTTGCTCCTTCCCATAATGTCTGCAGGGCCTTGGGTTTTGCCTAGTCCTTGGAGGAGGAAGTTTGAAGTTGAGGTGTATAAAAGCTTGGGAAACTGGGAGTCAACAGTCCGGTGTCAGATACAGAGCAGGGCTTTGGAATCACCAGACAGGATCGGCATTTGCTAAAACAGGAGTACACAGCAGGGTCTTACTGAAATGAAATAGCAAGAGGAATAATCCGTGAGCATTTCCACACAGTACCAGGAAAACTCATTCCATTTTACAGATGAGGCTGAGAAATGTTTCTCGACCTACCCGAGACACAACAAACAAAATGAGCCGGGCGTGGCAAACGCCTGTAATCCCAGCGCTGGGGAGCCTGAGCTACATAGTCAATTCAAGGCCAGCATGAGCTACATTGTGAATTCAAGGCCATTCTGGGCTAGATAGCAAGACTCTATTCCAAAAAACAAATAAAAATGGGGGCTGGGGATTTAGCTCAGCGGCATAAGCGCCTGCCCTGCAAGCAAGCAGTTGTGAGTTCGATCCCTGGTACCGATAAAAATGAGAAAGACGAAAAAAAAAAATAACAAATAAAAATGGAAAGACTAACATTCGATGGAAGGTGCATTAAATTGCGTAGCGGTGAGTCCTGGCGCGGCTAAGAGCTCTATAGGTTAAAAGTCAGGGATTAAGGGATCCTGAACTTCGCAGCAGGGCACAGCTGGGCGCTCTTTTAACGTGAAGCTTGGGAGCTCCACTTTGCCGCGCGCTTACGTGCGCTCCGTGACCGCCGCACCGGACGCGGGGCTGCCAGTGGCGAGCACATGCGCCTTGGCGTCCCTGGGCGCTTCCTCCCCACCCCTGGCAGTCGCAGCGCCAGCACGGAGCGCATGCGCACATTGGGCGGGCAAAGGGAAGTCCTAGAGAGTGGAAAGATTTGGTGGGAGAAAGCGCGCGGGAGCCGGGCAGGGGGTGGTAGCGCGCATGCGCGACCGGGTGTGGGGCGGGCGGATTGCCACCAGAATCTCAGCCCGCTGCAGTCTGCACTGCATCCCTAACTCGTCGCCATGGCCGCCTATAAGCTGGTGCTGATCCGGCACGGCGAGAGCGCCTGGAACCTGGAGAACCGCTTCAGCGGTTGGTACGATGCGGACCTGAGCCCGGCGGGCCACGAGGAGGCGAAGCGCGGCGGGCAGGCGCTGCGAGGTACGGGCGAGCCGGCCGCGAGCGGCAGTGTGGAGGGCCTGGCTTGCGGCCTCTAGGCCCCCCGGCTGGCATCCGCGCCTTCGGGAGGGCGGTCTGGGAGGTGGCTTTCCATCATCTTAGTTCACTGTTGGCGGAGGTGGGCGCAAGCGGGGGACTCGACTTGCTCAAGGTCACGTACTGGTGTGGGAGGCCGGCAAGAGGACTGGGCCGGCGCAGCCCATTGAACGGTTCAAGACGCCGCCTAGCGAAATTTTCCCCAGTTAGTGTGAGCGTTCACCAACTCCGACACGCAAGGAGCCACCTGTGGTGGCCAGACCTTTTTAGGGTCCCTCCCGTAGTACCTAAGAGCGGTAGTATCCAAGCCTTCTCAGGTTGCTGCGGATCCCAGCGAAGGCGCAGGCCACGTGCACATGCTCGTACCCTGCGGTGGGGGCAGCGACACTTCAGAACATCTAGAAATACTTATGTTTGTGTGTAGGACTTTGCAGATCTGCAGCATGCTGCAAATACTGCGTCCAGAATGCATCCACAGGTGTAACGGAGTAAATCAATGAAAGATTAGAGTTCGTGCTTTTTTTTTTTTTTTTGTATGTTTACCGGTACCAGGGATCAAACTCAGGACCACACACTTGCAAGGCAGGCGCTTATGCCGCTGAACTAAATCCCCAGCCCCGAGTTTGTTCTTTTTACAACCCCGTACAATGGACATATCTTCCCATTCCTCCCAGGCCACCTTTTATGACTGGGAATAGTGAGACTTGGAAACTTGATTTGCTCAAAATCATATCTACTCATTTCTCGTCCAGTGTTCTTGCTCTATTTCTGGGTGGAGTGCCATGTAGGTGTGAGCATGGTGGTGGGCTGTTGGCCGGGGACAGAAGCTGGGCAAAAGGTGGAAGTGGCTGAGATAATGCTAGTCTGTTTGCTTATCCAGTCTTGCCCCGGAGACTGACTGTTCTGTGATTTTGGAATGCTAATAAGGACGCATTCTTTGCTGCTGGCAATTCAGTAGTTCCTAGGTTGAAAAGCTGCTTCCACTGATTATTAGGGTAGATCCTGTTCTGCTCCCTCTTAACCTCTGGAAACAGGAGGAGCCTCATAAAAAGGTTGGTGCTTGGTTGGTGTGGCACTAATATTTGGACCCAGATTGTCTTAGAAACCCTGGGGATGTACTCCTGTTGGCGGGGGTGAATGTATATGCTTTGGGATGGCCATTTGTAACCTCATACCATCTAGGAGAGATCTAGAAACACACTGGTAAAGGAGGCCATTTTCTTTAGCTCTGCCAGGAAGAACTGTATGGGTCTGTCGTGGACCCTGGTGCCTAGCCCAGTACATACAGTTCTCTAAGATGATCAAGTGGTTGGTTAAACAGGTGGCCTCTGTAAAACAACAGACCTCATTTCAATTTTAAAATAAATATTGGTAGCATTAAGTTTTAGAAAATCAAACGTAAATTTTTCATATACATATATATTATGGGTATCACTGATGCTTAAAGGAAGACTAAAAGCAAAAGCTGACTGAAGACCTTTATGAAGCTAAAAAATCTCAGATGTATAGTAATCAGTGCTTCAACTGATAAGGATTTGTACAGTATTGAATCTGATTTTAGGAAGATGTGAAAACAGTTTTGCCCTGTGACCTTAAGGCTGAGAAAGGGAGGATTTCCCAGGAGGGAAAGTGGGTTCCACACCTGTGTCCACCCCATCCCAGCTATTACTTTTTCAGGGGGTTACCGGGAATTGAAATCAGGACCTCAAAGTTGCCAGGCAGGTGCTGCACCACTGAGCTACATGCCCAGCCATTTGATGAGCAAGCTAAAGAAAGAAGCTTTCTGCTCCTGTCTTTCAGGGTTCTGTATCAAGAGTCCTGTGGAGAATGGTTTTTCTCCTTGGGGACTATGTGTGCATCCAAAGTGAGACATTGCATCGCAAGTGGAAATACGTAGTTTTTCATCATGGGAGTTGAGGCTTGCACTATGGGTATTCTCCAGTGACTCAGCCCTTTGCTGAGGAGCCATTCCTCCTCTGTGGTTAGGGAGGTGACTCTAACCAAGTATAGATGGATTGTCATGAGGCTCAGTAATGGAACCTGTCTTTACTTTTGTGGTAAATCCCTCTCCCCGCTTTGGTTGGTTTATAGTAGCTTCATTCTCACTGAATGACTGACAGGGAATTCACATTTCACTTATTATTGCAAACCTCAGAATGAAGCAGTACCCAGCAGAGTTTGTGCTGAATTTTGAAGAGGGCCTTGAGTTTTTGCCTGGCTCACTGCACAGGAATGGTCCATATCCTAGTTTAGGAGGGAGGGAGAATAATCTTTCATGAAAAAGACTGATTCACTGTAATCTATTGGTTGGGCCAGCATAACTCCTCATTACCTCTCTCCACAACTGCCATGTATGAAGGAGGCATTGATGAGAAATTTGATAAAGGAATCAGATTGCCAGCATTTGCTTTTTTCAATGAATGGCTTCTAAATTTGATTTAACACTTGAGTTAAAGGTGGTATGTTTCCCTGAAGGAATAGACTGGCACTTTGGCTATGATAAAGATGGGTCATGGATTAGGAACTTTAACGCTCCTTAATGAAAATACAATTTCTGAAGTTTATTGGCATCCTCCAAGAGCTCTTGGTGTGTCCTGATTGTTGGGATTTTAAAATAACTTTTTGGTTTTTTTTTTTTGGTCTTGTTGTGGCCCTGAACTCCCTATGGATCCCGGAATGACTTCAAACTCAGCAGTGATCCTCTTGCCTCAGCCTCTGAAGTGCTGGGTTGCAGGTGTGTGCCACCATGCCCAACAAAAAGTTCCATTTTTCTCAGACTGGAAGTCTAGAAAATAGCTATCAAGCCGGGCGTGGTGGCTCACACCTGTAATCCCAGCACTCAAAAGGCTGAGGTGGGAGGATCCTTGCCAGTTCGAGACCAGCCTGGGCTACAAAATGAGCTGAAGGCCAGCCTGAACTGCACAGCGAGACCCCGTCTCAAAAAAGACCAAAAAACAGAAAGAAAATAGCTATCAAAAGTGACAGCTTTAATTGTGTGCCAAGTGTGGGACATACACCTATAGTTCCAGTACCCTGGGAGGTTGAGACAGGATTACAAGTTCTAGCCCAGCATGGGCAATTTAGCAGTTTAGGGAGACCCTGTCATTTAAAAGGGTTGGGGATGTAGCTCAGTGAAAAGGTCCTGTGTCAATCACCAGTACCACAAAAAGAGGGGAAAGTAGCTGGAGATGGTGGTAAAGAGTTGGATTTTGAAATCACAGTCTGGGGTATGATTTTGGATAATCTGTTGAACTCTCACATCTTTATTTTCCTCATTTGGTAAAATGGGTTGTAAGGAATGTAACTTCACGGAATTGCTGTGAAGACTTAAGTAACATGTACAAAGAAAGTACTTAGTTCAATGCTTGACCAATGGTAAGTCCTCTAGGAATGTCAGTTATTTAAGAAGAAAACTGAGTTTTTAGGGTTCTTTTTTCTACATAAGTGAAAAAGAAATTCTTAAAATGTTTGTTTAAGCCGCTGGGCATGGTGGCTCATGCCTATAATCCCAGCACTCAGGAGGCTGAGGCAGGAGAATTGTGAGTTTGAGTGAGACCAGTATAGGCTACAAAGCAGCTCAAGGCCAGCCTGAACTGCCTAGTGAGACCCTGTCTCAAAAAACATTCTGTGAATTGGTATAAGCAGCACAAGTCTCAGGTCAACTGGTGCATTTAGGCCTTGGGATGGGTGAATTATTGGGGAACCACTATTACTGTAACATAATTCAACAAATTTTATCTTCTTGAAGGCAGAACATTATAATTACTTAAAGAATATACTAAAGTGAGCTGGGCATGGTGGCTCATGCCTGTAATCCCAGCATTCGGGAGGCTGAGGAGGGACAATCGTTGACTCCAGCCGGGGCTATAAAGTGAGCTTAAGGCCAGCCTGAACTGCATAGCGAAACCCCATTGCAAAAAAGAAAGAAAAAGAATAAGAATACACATAAGAAAACATTTGGCCAAATAATCTCCATTTGGACTATCTGTGGAAGATTTTTTTTTTTTAAGAAGAGGTTTAGCTTGACTCATGTTTCAGAAATTTCAGTCCTTGTATGTTGGCAGCATGGCAGAAAGATATGCAGAGGAGAGCAGCTCAAGTCATGGCTGCCGGGAAGCAGAGAACCTGGGTAAGACTTGTAAAAATATCTGGCTGAGAATGGACTTCGTTAGCTTATCACTTTTAACCTTCAATTTACAGATGCTGGCTATGAGTTTGACATCTGCTTCACCTCAGTGCAGAAAAGAGCGATCCGAACCCTCTGGACAGTGCTGGATGCCATTGACCAGATGTGGGTGCCGGTGGTGAGAACCTGGCGTCTCAACGAGCGGCACTATGGGGGTCTGACTGGCCTTAATAAAGCCGAAACTGCTGCCAAGCATGGTGAGGCTCAGGTGAAGATCTGGAGGCGCTCCTATGATGTCCCGCCACCTCCGATGGAACCTGATCATCCCTTCTACAGCAACATCAGCAAGGTGTGAGCAAAACTGGGCCCAGTCACTCTTCCAGGATCAGGGCTTAGAATCCGAGCTTTACTCTAACTTTTCATGTATTCCCACTGCTCTTGTAATTTATGATAAAAAAGTTAGTGTGCCTTATTTTATCCATTTATGTATTTATTTTTGAGACAGGGTCTGTTCAGGCTGGTCTGGAGTGAGGTAGCTCAGACTGGCTGTGAACTTGTGGCAGGCTCTTCATATGTAATCCAGGCTGAACTCACTGTGTAGCTCAAGCTAGCCTTGAACTCAACAGCAGTCTTCCTGCCTCAGCTGGGATTATAACCATGAGCCAGTGGCCTAGCCAGCCTCTGAAGTAGCTGGAATTAGAGAGATGTACCACTGTGACTGGCTTCTATCTCCATTGTTGTCTTTTGTAAAATCCACCCATAGCCTCTGCAAGTTAAAGTGGATTGGAAGGAACTATGTCACATGATTTCTGCCTTTTCTAAATTACATTTCTTTCTTTCTTTCTATTTTTTTTTTTTTTTTCTTTTTGAGACAGGGTCTTGCTATGCAGTTCAGATTGGACTTGAGCTCACTTTGTAGCCCAGGCTGGTCTGGAACTCGCAACAATCCTCCTGCCTCAGCCTCCCGAGTGCTGGGATTATAGGCATGAGCCACCATGCCCGGCTCTTAAATTACGTTTCTTTTGAAACAGGGCCTTAGTACAGGCTGGCCTCAAACTATAGTGATCTCCTGACTCTGCCTCTTGTTCTCTTTTTTTTTTCTGAGACCCAGTGTCATTTTGTAGACCAGAGTGGCCTTGAATTTATGGCAGTCCTGATTCACTCAGCCTTACAAGTGCTGGGATTACAGGTGTGCACCCACCACACCTGGCTTATAATTCTTTTGAATTGGGTAATGAGGGAGGAAGAGGCAGGATTTTCCCAAGCCCTCAGCTACGTTCTGGGTCCTTGTGAGAAGCCTGTACCATTAACCCAGTCTCTTACAGAGATGAGGAACCACAGAACTGAAAGACTCTGAAACCATTTAACAGACAGAAGTCAGGGATGGTGGTGCATGCTTCTGAGGCTGAGGCAAGAGGATCATGAATTTAGGGTCATTCTGGGCTGCCTAGAGAATTCAGAGCCAGCCTGGATTATATGGCAAGACCTTGTGTCAACAAAACCAAAGAAAAAGTATGCAACCAAAAAACTAAAACAAATGCAATCACTCATAACTGGTGAACTTGAAATTTGCTTTTAGGATCGTAGGTATGCAGACCTTACTGAAGATCAGCTGCCTTCCTGTGAGAGTCTGAAAGACACCATCGCCAGAGCTCTGCCTTTCTGGAATGAAGAGATTGTTCCCCAGATCAAGGAGGGGAAGAGAGTGCTGATTGCAGCTCACGGCAACAGCCTCCGGGGTATAGTCAAGCATCTGGAAGGTACGTGCTGTTTTCCAGGGAGGCCTTCAAGGATGGATAAAACAGATCTGCCACTGATAAAGGGTTTATTTAGTATGAAGGTGATGTCCAGCAAAGGGCTGACACACTGATAGCCTGAGACATTCTGGGATTGGCACCTAGTCAAAAAACACCATATTCTTTATTTTTTTTTTTGTCTTTTTCTTTTTTATTGGTACCAGGGATCGAACTTACGACTGCCTGCTTGCAAGGCAGGCGCTTATGCCGCTGAGCTAAATCCCCAGCCCCTAAAACACCATATTCTTAAAGTGTAGTCTGCAAATCTGGGTGTGGTGGTACATGTCTGCAATCCCAGCATTTGGGAGGCTGAGGCAGGAGGATTGCCAACACAATTTCTGGGCCAGCCTGAACTACATAGTGAGATCCTGTCTCAGTGGCCACCTCCCACCCCCCAAAAATGTGGTAGTCTGCAGAAGTGACAGCTGGCCCTCCTGAAAGCTTGTAAGTATTCAGGACCTGAGGTTCTTTTCCAAAATTGGCGTATGTTTCCCAAGAATTGGGATGCCTTCCTCTACACTGGGACTGCCAGCTGAAACTGCTGATAAATTCCTCAGTTACAGTCTGGTTTAAATTCCCACATAAGTTTTGCTTTACATCTTAAGTTACTTCATTCCTGAAGATTTAGGGGTCCAGAAGTGGCAGATGATTGTATCATGTAGAGATTGTATAGTCCCTCATATTGCAGGATGTGTGCAGACCTTCTGGGACCTCTGTGTGGCCTCTGGGTCCCACTTTGGTAGGGATAGCTGTGCTCTAACCCTTTGTGTAGTTTGTTGGTGGCCCATCTTAGAATCTTGGATATTTCCTTCTTTTTTTTTTTTGAGACAGGGTCTCATTATGCAGTTCAGGCTGGTCTTGAGTTCACTTTGTAGCCCAGGCTGGTCTCTGAGTGCTAGGATTTCAGGCAAGTGCTACCATGGCCAGCTTCCTTTGTTACTTTGCAGTTTGGTGGCTAGAGAAATTAGGTCTAGGGGTCATTCTTTGTGGGGTGGGTCTGCGTACACAGATTGTAACTATTATATTTGTAAGGGTGTCTGGTTTTAATTCCTTTGATGCATAAGGGATAAAGAGTAAACCCAGAAGGGCAATGTGGATTCACACCTGTGTGGCTGATTGTGGTGTTTATTTCTAGGTCTTTCTGAAGAAGCGATCATGGAGCTGAACCTGCCCACTGGTATTCCCATTGTCTACGAATTGGATAAGAACTTAAAGCCCATCAAGCCCATGCAGTTCCTAGGGGATGAAGAGACCGTGCGTAAAGCAATGGAAGCTGTGGCTGCCCAGGGCAAGGCCAAGAAGTGAGGATTACCAGGCAGCCTACTACCCCGCCCAGCTATTCCTCCACCTCTCCCCTGCACCTGTCACTCTGACCACACCTGTAGGCATCCCGTGTTGTAGTTACGGATGAGGACCAATGGCTCCCATTTTCACTTTAGCATTTTGGCTCCCGCACCCCCTTACTTGATAGAATCTAGTCAGAATAGTACCTCTAGGACACAAGCTCTCAGTCCAAGCCCAGGGAAGGCTCTTCTTATCCAGGAGAGTTGAGAGGTAGTTACTGTTTTTCCCTAGTGTTTCTGCTTTGTTTACTAAGGACCTCCTTGAGCAGGGGACAGGGATGGACCATGCCAAGGTGTGATGATGAGGAGAGGCTAGAGAGCACACTGTGCTCCCAGGGGCCAGTCCTGTACTCTTTGACAGTCAGGTCACCGTCAGCAAGCTCTCCTCATTCCAGTGGGAGAGAATGAAACCTGCATGGTTTTTTTCCAGTGGGAGAGAATGAAACCTGCATGGTGATTAAAAAGTAATTTCCTTTCTCACCCCAGAGGAGCTGGCTCCAGAAGGTTGGGATTAGTCCTGAATTACGTTTATGTGTTGTTTTTCTCCAAAAGAAAAATTATACATCTAAACAAAAACCCTTCTGTGGCTTTTAGTTGTGGTTGAATAGGTCCACATGTAGACACCAGAAAATAAGCCATCCCTCACACCAGTACAGGATAAATTCTGCCTCTCTGGGTAGGAGTGCATCCTGCTGTGTATCTTAGGGTCCCTGCCTTGTTTTGGTGGCAGTGAAAATGCCTCTTGACAATGTCTAAATGTGTCTCAGTATGTTCAGTTTCTGAATCATGTTCCAGTTGGCTTGGCCCTGCTACATGGGGCTAGTACACATTTTGAGCATAACTGTAAGTAATTAAGTCTTTTTTCCAGATCAGTATAATAAAGGAGTGATGTGCAATATTTTCCTGTGTAGTGTGTTATATTTGCCATCCAAAGAACTCTTAGCATTCAACTTGAAATGTTTATGACATACTCAAGCTCCGCAGGAGAGATTTATAGTTTTATAATCATTATATCCTGAAAGCACTTGAGTTTCTAGGATTTTCTGTTCCTTACAATACAGTTTTTGTTTAGATTTTTGAGAGAGTCTCACTATGCAGTTCAGACTTAATCTTTGAACTTACTTTGTAACCCAGGCTGGCCTCACATTCACAGCAATCTTCTCAGCCTCTCAAGTTCTGGAATTACAGGTGTGCACCAGACCAAGCAAATTTAGGATTAGCAATCTGTCCTTTCAAAGTTCTCTCTTCGGGCATGCTCAGTCAGTTATAAGAATACTTAAGATAATAAAAGTGTGTTAGTGATGCTGGGACTGAATAGTTGACTTCCACATGCCAGGCAAGTGCCCTACCACTGAGCTATATCCCCAGCCCTTTGTATTTTTTTTTGCAGTACCAGGGGATCGAACAACTGACCCCACGCTTGCCAGGCAGGTGCTTATGCTACTAAGCTAAATCCCCAGCCCCTCTCGGTATTTTTGCAGTGCTGGTGATGAAACTCGGGATGTTATAGCCCTTTTTGAGACAAGGTCTTGCTTAGTTTGTTCATTCCCCATTCGAAAGCCACCCTTACATTGGGAGGAAATGGGCTTATTACATGACATTCTTGAAAAGCAGAATGTCTTCAATAAAACTGCTGGCTTGGGCAAGGTTACGACACTGAATGGAGATGTTTCCCCAGCTAAGTTCCCCAGGCTGGTCCTGAATTGATCTTCCTGCCTCATCCTCTCCCACAGCTGAGATTACAGGTATGTACTATCAGGCTGGGCTCCATCAAAAATTTACTGAATTCTTGAGCTGTACTGAGTCAATATGTACTCTGAGGTTGAAAGGTGAAAGACAGTCCTGTCCCGAAAGGAGTTCCAGCCACTTGGGGGGATGGGTACACACACTTGTTTACAGGTAAGGGAATCTAACTTAGTGTGCAGCAGATCAAAAGTGTTCATCAGCTGTTGTTTCACTTGTTCTTAGGGAACAGTAAACTGACATCATCCAGTCTCTTATTTCTTCATCCTGAGTATATAGTACAAACATACTATTGAAACGTCCTCTCACTAGAAACTACTGTGATGGGAAATAAATCCAGCTGGGTCTGGTTTGTCCTGAGTGAAAACCTGCCTTGTCTGCAGTTAGCTAGAGCTTGTGGACAGGAGAAAGACACAAACACAGTATATCCTGATTTAAATTAAGCTTTATATACCTAATACCCCAGGTTAGACATGCTTGGGTGAACAAAAAGGCCTAGCCACGTTCTATTTTATTTTTGGTAAGGCAGTGATAGCAAATCTTGCAGAACTTCCAGTGATAAACAGCCAGCTGTGGCACACATGCTGCAGGATGGCCGCTACTGGCCTAGAGGACTGGACTGAAGGCTTTAATCATGCTAGGAAAGTTGTACTACTCAGCTGTGTTCTCAGCCCCTGTCCCTCTCCCCCTTGCTCTACTCTTTTTATGGTGCCAATGTTGAGGCAGAAAAAATTAAAAGTGAAGGCTAAGTGAGAAACTGGCTCTGCAGAGTAATTTGGGAAGAGTAAGAGGAAATGTAAATAAAATCACACGGAACACAGGGTGGGCTGTCAGGAAGAAAGCTTACCTTTTTGTGACACTGAATGTCACAATGTGACATACAATGTCAGAAATACCCCTGGAAGGGGCTGGGGATTTAGCTCAGCGGCATAAGTACCTGCCTTGCAAGCAGGCGGTTGTGAGTTCGATCCCCGGTACCAAAAAAAAAAAAAAAAAGAAAAAAAAAATACCCCTGTAGGACATGGGTTCCATCCTGTTCACCGCTTCCCTCCCACCCCTAAGTTCCCAGACAGGCAGGCTGAGCAGTCCCTCTCTCCCGGTCCTCCTCTGTGTTACTGAGTGCCTCCCTGAAAGATGTTCACAATCAAATGTTCTAAAAGTAGTAGTAGTAGCTATTTTTCACATGCTACCTCTAAACTTCTGGAAAGAAGCAATCATTTCTGTTTTATTTAGGAATGAACTAATTTATTTGTCACACAGTCATCACATGGCAGTGAAGCATTCAAACAGATCTGTCTTACTGTAAAGCTTACAAGGTAATGTATTCACCGGTGCCAAGGTGCTTCCTTTACACAGTACTGAACACAGCCTCGGGCATGTAGTTTGAGGGTCTCCATATTGACACTGGTTCCTTTTCTTTTCTTTTTTTTGAGACAGGGTCTGTAATACAGGCTGGCCCCAAACTCACTATGTAGCCCAAGCTGGCCTCGAACTTGCAGATTCTCTTGTCTGTCTCTTGAATACTGGGACCGTGATACCATGCCTGACTTGTTTGCTTTTTGAGACAGGTCTTGCTATGTAGTTCAGGCTGGTCTTGAACTTATAACAATCCTCCTACCTCAGCCTCCTGAGAGCTAAGATTACAGATGTGTGCTACATACCTATATATAAAAATGTTTTGTCATAGCAAAAATATATATATTTCTAGTAACTGTCAGGAAAAATAAGCTATTTTAACATTATACAGTTTTGTTTGCTGGTATCTCTAAAAGAGAAGTTACATTATTCAGGAGGATGCAATTCACTGAAAGGTTCATAAGAATAATGGTCTATGTAGAGAAAAATCACTTGCAGGTTTTTGTAGCAGTGATTGTTGGCTGGCCCTATGTACGTGAGTAAAAACCATGAGATTGTGAAGCCATTTTTATACATATACCCTTGGAAATAGCTTACTTCCCTCCCTTGGGGGAGGGGGGTAAAATGTAGCTTCCTAGGTCTGTAAGAATTCCGGCTGTACTCGGGCCACTTTCCGGAATTCTTTGGTGTGGGTCTTCGGGCACTGCATCTCACACCAGCTGATGGGAACCATCTGGACACCTGCAAGGAAAAAGCCAGATATTTTCTTGAGACTCGTCTCTTTTCAGCTGGGTATAAAATCAAGTTTTGGGTTGGGGTTGTAGCTCAGGGGCAGACCATTTGCTTAGCATGGCCAAAGCTCTGGGTTTAACCCACAATATCACCTTCAAAAAAAAAGTGTCACCTGGTGCAACTCACCTCACCTAGAAGAAATCTTGTTTATTGAACTGGGTTATTGCATGAGCTCCCTATTTACTTAGATGTAGGAAAACCATTCTAATTTCGGCAGTAGACAGTCATGAATTGCACAATGATGGGGCCATGTTTTGAAAACTGTTTTGTCATTGCATGAACATCATACAATGTATTTGTACAAACTAAGAGAGCTACAGCATCACTGGGTAATATAATCTTAAACCAAGGATAAGTTCAGATGTGGAAGAATGGATGGACTCACCTGATTCACTGTGGGCCACCACCACCCCAAGCTCATTTTCAGCAGTGGTCAGCAAGTAATTGGACTGTGCATCACCTAGGGATATCTAGTCATATAACACTGGTAAGGAAAATGGGCAGCTTGAAGTCTTCTCTGCACAGCTACTCAATTGTTTCTCTACTTTAATTTCTTTTATTGACAAAGGACCTTCAGAAGTTTGCTGAGAATAAAGGATACCACTTTGGCCAAGACAATGTCACCTGGGCGGAAACTCTTATAAATTTCAACCTGCACATAAAGAACAGGACTGTTAAGTGAAAACTTTAGATTAGGTCTATATAAAACTATTAAACCCCTGGTAAGCCAGTTTATTTTTTCCGTTTTGTCTGTTTTTGTTGTTGAGGCAATTGGGTTTGAACCCAAGGCCTTAAGGATGGTAAGCAATCTCTCCTGAGCCATATCCCCAGCCTGAGCCAGTCTACTTCCTAATCCCAGGGTATAGATGTTATTATTATCCTAGTCCCTCAACAATTTTTTTTTTTGGAGATAGGGTCTTGATATGTGGTTCAGGCGGGCCTTGAACTTACTATGTAGTCATGGCTGGCCTCAAACTCATGGCAATCCTCCTGCCTCAGCTTCTGAGTGCTAAGATTAAAGGTGTGTGCCAACACACCTAGTAGTCAATTATTTATTCTTTTTTGAGACAGGGTTTTGCTGTGCAGTTTGAGTTGGCCGTGAGGTCACTATGTAGCCCAGGCTGGCCTCAAATTTTCAGATTCTACATTTCTATTGATCTTTGAAATTCATTAGGGAGAAATTCATTACAGAGATTCCTAAAGCCACGTAAAAAAAGCCCAAATCAACCAACAACCTTGTCTTTTTCAGTCGCTCGAACATCTTCTTTCCTATAAAAAAAGAATTAACAGAAATATTAATTATCTGTGAGAGGGCTGGGGATATAGCTCAGTGGCACAGTGCCTGCCTGGCAGGTACGAGGTCCTGAGTTTGATTCCCAGTATCAAAAAAACAAAAACAGGGGCCAGGGATTTAGCTCAGCCCCTGCCTGCATAAGTGCCTGCCTGGCAAGTGCAAAGTCATGAGTTCAATCCCTGGTACCGAAAAACAAACAAAAGTACAGATTACCTGTGAGAAAGAATTACCTTGTAGGTTCTAACAGCCAGAGAACTGCAGCGTAAGAGCGTATTGCAAGTGATAATGGAGACCCAGCTGCCATTCAGGGAGGCAGGAAGGACAGGCAGACTTAGTCCACAGTAAGAAGGAAAAGCACTTCCCCGTTCTTGTGCCACACAGAGCACCAACGTGTATCCTCCGACTAGAGAAAAGTGGAAGAGTTTGGCAAGAAATAGTGAGCCCTTGCCTGGAAGCACTAAGACTCACATGGAACTGAGGCTGAGAAGGGCCTTGAAAGCCAAACTACCTGGCCTTCGGTGAGTATTTATTCTTCCTCAAACAATCCACAGGAAAACAAACAAACAAACAAAAAACCCTGCTGTTTTCCTACAAACTTGACTTCTTCAGAGTTTTTGGGTACTGGGAAGTGAACTTAGGACACTGCTTGCCAGGCAGGCACTGCCCCTGCCCTGATTTATTTCTTTTTTTTGTGTGGCTTTTTTGAGACAGGCTCTCACTACATAGCTCAAGCTGCCTTTGAATTCACTGTGTAGTCCAGGCTGGCTTCAAACGCATGGCGATCCTTCTGTTTCAGCTTCCTGAGTGCTGGGACTACAAGTATGTGCCACCACACCCACCCCATCACTTCTTATTGTCTAATAACATTTGGGTTTAATCTATATTAAATGTGTGTTTTTTTTTTAAGTTACTTCCTAAAATGCCTTATACCTTGTTTGGTTTGAATCACTCTTGTGTTGCTTATTTTTGCCTTAGCTCAATTTGTCTTATTTTTAAACTCTCTCTTATTAACTTTTTCCTTTTGTCTTAGTTCATGGAACATTTTCTTTGGCTACTACAGGGAAGAACCAAAGCATAAAGGAAAGACAAAAGTAGGCAGGAGTAGGAATAGTAATTGTTTATAAAAATTCAATTCTTAGCCAACCATGAGACCCTGTGTCAAAAACAAAAAACAAAAAACAAAAAACAAAACAAAACCAAAACCAAAACCAAAAACCCCCCCAATTCTCCCAACTATTCTAGTCTCATTCGAGGTGCTAGGGCAAATGTGAAGACAAGAATATTTCTCACCGGATAGTTCCTCGAAAAGAGTTCTTCAGTGGTGTAGAGCCTACATATAAGATGTGCACTTTAGCAAAACGTGAATTGATGCTAGAGACCTATGGGACAGAGCAAGGATCACTATCAGAACATCAACAGTTGTCAGTGCAAGGAAGCAGCAGTAATCTGGGAACTACTCAGATTTTAGCTCAGCAACTCCACCAAACAGAGTTTAAGATGAGGTAACATCTATTCATCTTTGCCTAAGTGATACCTGTGGAATAAAAGCCACAGTAGCTACCTAATACAGTTACTTCAGAAATCAAATGAGATACCACGGCTGGGCCTGGTATAGGTGTGGTGGCTGGCTGAGTCAGGAGGATCAGATCCTCCTGCCTTGGCCCCCTGAGTGCTGGAATTTCAAGCATACACCATCACACCCAGCAATACTTTTTTTTTTGAGGCAAGGTCTCATTATGTAGTCCCCTGGCTGAGCTTGAATGTTGGAAGCCAATGAGGCTGGAAATTGACCACAGGGCTTGGGGGCATGGCCATCCCAACAATAAAGAGCATCGGGACAAGCTACCGGAAGCAGTTGCTTCAGCCCAGAAAACCACCAAGCCCTTAGACAATCCAATCAATGGATTGCTAGGTAGAGGGGTTGAAATCGACACCATCCCTCTGAGCATATAAATAAAGGTGCTACAGTGGTTGAGCCATCCTTTCTCTCCCATCAGGAGAGAGGGTTCCACTTGACCTCAGCTTTGGTCTGTTTTCATTTTCTCATCCTCTCACTGTCCTTCCCCCAGGGAACATCTGGAGCTATAGCTGGTGGCTACACTTGAACTCACTATATAACCTAGGATGGCCTTGAACTTTTGATGATCTTCCTGCTTCAGCCTCCTCAGTGCTGGGATTATAGGCATGAGCCAATATGTCTGTATCCAAATATATATATATATATATATATATTTTTTTTTTTTTTTGGTCTTTTTCCTTTTTATTGGTACTGGGGATCGAACTCACGACTGCCTGCTTGCAAGGCAGGGGCTTATGCTGCTGAGCTAAATCCCCAGCCCCTCAAAAATATTTTTAAAAAAATTTTTTTGCGGTATATTTTAGAGATATAAAATGATTATCAGTAAAATTTTTTAATTAAGTACTGTTTTCCCTTTTTTGTAGAGTTGGAGATTGAAGTGAGGGCCTTGTACATGCTAGAAAAGCCCTCTATTCCTGAGGGACACCCTAGCCTTTTTTATTTTTATTTATTTATTTATTTATTTATTTATTTTGGAGTTTTTCCTTTTTATGGGTACCGGGGATCAAACTCATGACTGCCTGCTTGCAAGGCAGGTGCTTATGCCGCTGAGCTAAACCCCCAGCCCCGCCTTTTTTATTATTTATTTATTTATTTATTTGTCTTTTTCCTTTTCATTGGTACCAGGGATCGAACTCATGACTACCTGCTTGCAAGGCAGACACTTATGCCGCTGAGCTAAATCCCCAGCTCGAGCCTTTTTTATTTTGAAATAAGGTCTCACTAAGTTGCCCAGGGTGGCCTCAAATTTGTGATCTTTCTGCTTCAACCTCCCAAGTAACTGGTATTACAGAAGTGTTTCATCATGCCAGGTTTAATTTAAATTTAAATAGCTCTGTGCAGCTAGTGATGATCACATCAGGCACTGCAGTTCTAGAGTGGTCATGACTTTAGCACTGGGTTTGTGTGAAAAGCATAGATCTAGGACCCACTTACCTTACAGGTGACAATAGCTCCCACATCTGGCAGTAACTGGGACTCTGTTTCTCTCATCACAGATACCACAGGAAGCTACAGAGAAAAACAAATGTGGCTAAGCCTTGGGTGAAAGTATTTGTGGCCTGAGAATAGCACAGGAACAACTTGGTGTGGTGAGAACACTAGGCCAGATGGACTGTGAGTTAAGTTTAGTAAGAGGACAAGAAGCAGAAGCCACGGGAGAATGCTGCTGGAAAATGCAACCTAGCCATTCTGGATTAGGTATACTCAGTTTTCCAGTGATTTTATTGGCACACAACTGTATTGCCTCTAATCAAAGATGATTCCTCTAACGATGCAGAACAGAATTATCAAGTAGGTGTCCTTTAATAATGGCAATAGTTGTTTTCTTCTGGCTTAAGGGAATATTTGTAGTTTTCTCTTTGATTATTGGTGCAAGACGGATCTTTCTAGACTCATATTTTACCAGAGTCTCCTTTGTTCACTGTGCTTAAGTTTTTTAGTTTCCTCAATTTACTAAGTTTCTTTCATTTCAAGGTCTCTGTTCAACTTGTTCTTTCTGCCAGAACTGTGTTCTCCCCAGCCATCCTTAGACAATTCAGCCTAAATGTCACTAAGCAAGGTTCACCTGTTGCATATTCTCATGGTGCTGTATCATTTTCTTTCCACATAGTCATCACATTTGTAACCATATGCTCCTCTGAGCACTTATTTATATGCTGTGTCTTGTTCCCTATGGTAACACAAACTAAGTGTGTTGGGTTCATTATTATATCTCCAGAGGTCAGCATGGTGCCTGATCCATGAAAATGTGATAACTATGAAAGAAGAAACTCAGGAATATAAAGGGCATTCCCAAAATTGATTGAATAGGAAGCTCTTCTTTTTATAGATGCAGAAAAATCTAAAGCCAGAAAGTTTATATTTGGTATCCCAAGCAGAGTCAAAAGGACTACATAGCCATTTTACTTTTAAATCTTCTATTGTGCTTTAGGCTGCTCCTTCAAAGACTATTTACCTGGGCCAGTGCAGTGCCTGTCTGGCAAAGCACAAGGTCCTGAGTGTGATTTCTAGCATCCACAAAACAAACAAACAAACCCAGACTATTTACCTGATTCTGCGCATATCCTGGGCCAACTTCTGCAACTAGGGAGGTCAGATTCATGGATCCAACAGGCATTTATTGAGCATCTACCTTATGCTAAATACTGAAGGACTGAAGGTATAGAGGGAAGTGCTTTTGTGCAACTTAACTCTACCTAAGGAAGAGTCCATCGGGAAACATATACTGTTTATTTACGTGCTGAAGGACAGGAATAGAGCTCTTTGTGAATGCTTAATACCCCAACCCACAAGCTCTTTCTTCAAGAACTATGGTCTATTTGAAAACTTGAGTTGGGCAAAAAAAAAAAAAAGAAGTATGGTTTAGAAGTACATCTTTTTTTTGGTACCGGTGATCAAACTCACGACCTCGCGCTTGCCAAGCAGGCACTTGTGCCGCTGAGCTAAATTCCAGCCCTAGAAGCACATCTTTGAGAACATGATACTTAAGAGGCTTTCTGAAAGAGGTGGGAGTTACAGAGACTACGGAAAAGTGTGTTCTAGATAGATGGCATGTGTACATAGCTCTGCAGTCAGTGAGGTGGAGATAGTGGAGCCAGAGGAAGACGGACAGGTGGGCGTCAGACAAAATTCTGCTAAGCAGGCTACTCTGAGTTTGCGTATTCTCTTGCCTGACATCCCTCTTGGAGTCAGGAACACAACCAAGAGCCAGCAACCTAAGTGGTGTGTGGTGGATCGTGCACAGTACTGGAGATCACAGGAGAAATTGAAGAGACCAAAACGTTCTACGGGGAGGCACGAAAGATGCATCTACAGTGCTGGTGTCTAAGGACCAGAACTGACGGTCGATCTAAGAGAAAAATAAAGAGCAGATGGGAAGTGGCCTCCTTTACCGCGCCATTCTCGCTCCTCTTTGTCAGGCAGCCGGCCAGCGACGAAAAGATGTAGCCATGCCGGGTGTAGGTGCCGCTGCCAGGGCTACCCTCTTCCAAGTTACACAGACGTTCGCCTGCAAGAAAGAACACTGCATCGGCCACCGGCTCCCAGAAACTGATAGCCATCCAGGATTCTAGTCTTTGTCCCCATCTATGACTCCGTACGGGGACCACACACTTACCAGGGATGCAGTATCTCACCGGTGGCACCATGACGGCTCCTGTCTCCAAACCCGTATGAAAACAAAGCGAACTTCTCATTGGTCATATCTGGGAGAGGTTCCGCAGTATTACATACCTTCATTGGTGAGTTGTGTCACGTGATCACAGTAGGCTCTTTGTCTAGTGTGAACTCCATTTCCCAGGCTCCTCGCGGGACCAGATCGGGGCGGGACTTCGGGGAAATCCAGTAGTTGCGCCTGCGCTGGTGACCGGGGGTGGGCTAGCAGCGGGTCCGGGTCCCCTGGCTGGCGGTGCGGGCTGCAGGCCATGGTGGGTAGGATTGAGCTGCCCTCACCGCGGAGCGGGAGGGCTGGTGGTGGACGGCAGTAGAAGCTGCGGGGCTTGATTTGCTTGTTTGAGGATACGGGAGGCGGCAGGTAAGGGGAAGTCAAGGCTCTTGCTCGGCATCCTCCTTTTTTCTAGAGTCTAGCCGCGCGCGTCCGGGGCCTTGTCGCAAGCCTGGGTTCTTGCTCTCTCCTCGTCTGCCCTGCAGGACCTTGCCTCTGACAGAGTGCACTCTCCCGGAGACTAAGACGCAGAGTGGGAAAGACGGTCAACCAGCCCATCTTGCCCGTTTCACAGGTTTGCAAACTCACATTCAGAGACAGGGTTTGACTTGATCAAAGTCGCGAAGGTAATTCAACATAGTCCAAAGCAGAACCAAAGTTTTCTGGCCTTCAGTCCATCACAGTTTGTCCATGCCGTCCTTGCTGAAAGAGTTTTCCTGGTCCTTAAAGCTGCAGTCTTAAGTCTAGAGATCAGATCATGTGGTTGTGTTGGCCCCGTCTTAACTTTGGTTGAGCAGTTCTTCTCTTTTGCTTTATTTCTTGTCTTTTTGAGACAGGGTTTTACTATGCAGTTTAGGCTGGTCTTGAACTCACTTGGTAGTCCAGGCTGGCCTCGAATTCAGTGATCCTCCTGCCTCAGCCTCCCCAGTGCTTTCATTAATAGCCTATGCCACCACACCCAGCAGGATGAGCAACTTTATGATACAGTTACTACTTATTTTTTCTCTCTTTTAAAAATATGTTAACTCAGAAGGGAAGTCTGCACATGAATAAAATACTGCTTTTTAACTAATGTTTGACATCTCCTGATTGAGATTGCAAACATTGTGAGAGCAGTCTTTCTCCAGATGAAATTTGCCACGACTTGGCTCTGTTTAATCTGCCTTTTGATGGCTTTGGAATCTGTTCCTCCGCATATCTCCTTCCCCACCCTCTGGAAACAGGTGGTGACTTAGAGCCCTGGGGAGACAGGAGTGCTGCTGCAAATCCTAATTTGGTGGCAGATGGCCATTATGACCTAGGAGTACTACTGAGGAATGAGACTAGTCACTGTCTGCTGGATGCGATAGAACTGTGCTTTGTTATTTCCTCCTGTATGCGCTCTGGGATCACTCCTTCCTGCACACACAATATTCTGAATTTCGCTTTACTTCAATTTCCGGAATTGAAATTTCAGTTTCTGTTATGGCCATGGACGGCATATCTTTTCCCTAACCCTAACCTGTTCCCCATATCCCACCAGCTAAAGTGAGGGGCAGTGTGGCTTGTTCACTCAAATCTTACTTGAACTCCATTTATGATAAGTGATAAGTAGTGGGAAACTTCCATTTATGTGTTTAGGTGATTTCTGTTTTCTCAAGTGCCTGATGTTTAGCACTATAATTCTAGTAATGGTTTCTCTTTCTCTCCTTCTTTGAAACGGGGTCTCTGTAGCTTACGCTGGCCTTGAACTCTGGTAGTATTCCTGTCTCAACTTCCTGAGTGCTGGTATTACAGTTGTGCACCACCCTGCCTGGTGTCTGTTTCTATTTTAATCAGGAAAAATGATAGAAGCAGATGTTTCAGTATTATCACATTGGCAGGAGTGGCTCTGATGATATATGTGGGATTAAGAGACATCTGACCAGTCTTTTTGCTCCTGCAACAAGTGTCTATTGAGGCAGAGTGTGGTAGTGCATACCTGTAATCCCTACTACTTGAGAGGCCAAAGCAAGAGGATCCCAGGTTTGAGGCTAGCCTGGGCATTTTAACAAGCAAAATCCTGTCTCAAATAATGAAAACACAGGTGCAACCACTGTGGAAATCAGTATGGAGATTCCTCAAAAAACTGGGATTGGAAGTTCCATTCAATCCATCTATTCCCCTTCTGGGTATTTTCCCAGAAAAACTGAAAAGATTTTAGCAAATAGAAAACTCATCCATAGTAAGGGAATGTGCAGTGGTGCAGTGATATATGTCACAGTGATATATGTGCACCCATGTTCATAGCAGCACAATTTGTGATAGCTAAATCTTGGAACCAACCAAAATCTTGTCCATCAACTGCAGAGTGGATGATGTATTTTTATACAATGGAATATTATTCAGCTATAAAAATGATGATCTTGAGGTCTTTATAGGTAAATGGAAGCAACTTGAGAATATCCTCATTACTGAAGTAAGACTCACATTAGTAAATATCACATTGTCTCTCTAGTATAAAAAATAATAACTGACAGAATAATGGGATCCAAAAAGTATAATAGATATTGTAAAAGTGAAAGGGAAGGAAAGTGTTCCAAAGGATATAACGGTATGTATATTGTATAAGATAGATGAGCATATTACTAAATTTCTATTAGATCATTGAACAGAAGAGATTGCACTGTCAATGTTTGGGTGCCTAACCACTTTTTATGCTTTGATTTTGTAACTTTAACAACTGTTGTTAAGATGATAATATGTAATGTATCAACTAGTAATTTTATATTAATTTTTTTTGAATTCTATATTTTTTTCTCACTTTTTTCTATTTTTTAAAAAATTTTCTCTTCTTTCTTTAAATAATGAAAACGAAGGGCTGGGGATATAACTGGGCAATACAGTGCTCGTGTATTATGCATGAGGTCCTAAGTTCAGTTCCCAGCATCACAACTCAGACAAGTGTTATTGAGTACTTCTAGGACACTTGTATTATGTTAAGTGCTTTATATATTCATAAATGGTTGATGTTGGAACAAACCTTCGCATGTAATCTTATCCCCTTATTGAATGAGAATACAAGGATATTGAATTCTACTAGAATTCAGTGATTTACCCAAGCTCACAGAACTACTTAGGGGCAGAATTTAACCAAAATTAGTCAGGGTATGAGAGTTGGTACATATGCTCTATGAGGTGGGCATTTAATGAAGAGCTCAGAAATTCAGGAGGTGGTTGAGAACATCAGAAAAGTAGAGAATCTGAGAATCTTTTCTTTTAAAGAGGGTTCTGATGTAGAATATAATTTACATTTATCACAGGTGAGGAATGTATCTGATGGGTATACTGTTCCTATTTTAGTAAATAGAGAACTCATCCATAGTAAAGGAATGTGCAGTGGTGCAGACAGTCCAAAAGTCACCTAGATTTGTTGTGCGGTAATCTGTTTTGTCTTACTCTTATATTTGATTGTGGCTATTATTTTGTGAATTCATGCCTCAGCCAAATCATAGTTCCAAATAGTAGGAGTCCAACTCAGAGAACATAAGTCTGAGGTTTTCAGCCTTGTCTCTTTTCTGTACTCCACTTTAATTTTCTCAGCTTCCTAGGAGGTATTGGGAAGGACCAGTTTCTTTATCCTGGAGTTGTGATCAGCCAGCCCCTCCCAAAGTGTCAGTCTTTTCTCTCTCTTTTTTTTGTTTTGTTTTTGGTACCGGAGATCAAACTCACAATCTCAGGCTTGCAAGGCAGGTGCTTATGCTGCTAAGCTAAATCTCCAGCCTTTTCTTTTTTTTGTAGCCTTTGTCTGCTGGATTTCGTTTTGCTTAGGGCTTATGAGCCTGTAGAAAGAGGTAATTAAGTGTTTTCTTTGAGAAGCTCTTGTGGGGAAGCGCCAAAGTGCAAGGAGAGTACTTTACTCCAGTTACTGAATTGAAACCATCCCTACAGCCTAACAGCCTTCTCCAGTTTCCACTGGGTTTTGAGCTGCCTGTTAAATAAGTCAATGGAGTTGCTAAGGACAGAGCAGCCCTCCCTAACTGCTAGTGGAAAATCAGATAATTTCTTTTCTGGTAAAAGACAATCTGCAGAATTGAGATAGTCACAGAAAGAGTCTGTTAGAGGATATGTGTCTTTGCTTCTGGTCATTGCCTGGGCAGTGATCTCCCACACTGCGTAAGGTAGTGTGCAGAAATGGAACACTTGCAGAGGAGCCATAGAGAGGGCTGGTGAGCTGGGAAGGTTGATTGAGAAGCCTGGGGCTAAGGGCAGCAGCTGCAGAAAATGTTCTGGAGTGTAAATAACTAGGGTAGAGCTGGGAAGGCTTATACTGGGAGGGCCTCACTACTACTGACATGGAAATCCCTCCAGCTTCTATCTCCGGTGTTAGTGTTCTCTTGGTCTGAATATCTGAAGTTGTCTTGCCTGCTTCATCCTTGGGAGGGAGCTGGGACTGGAATGAGAGACAAGGCATCCAATGTCATGCAAGGGGTGGCTGACCTGTCCTCAGGCAAGATGGACTCTCTTACTATTGGGTTGAATCTGCTGGCCTGTAACATCAGCCCAGAGGGAGTAGGATAGGAAGGAACAGTATCTTTTGCCAAAACTCAGATGGCACCAAGGAAGATCTAGGTGCAGAAACCACATTCACTTGGTGGGGAAGGGCAGGCAGGAATCCCTAGAAAACTGCCACAGTGGCCATGCTGCGACACAGAGGGCAGCTTTGTCTGTGTTGGTTATGCTCCACCCACTGCTCTGTCTACACAGAAGCTCTTGGAAGACTCCTTTGATTTGGAGTCATCTAGCTCTCCCATCTCCTTTACCAAGGCCCTTTATTCTAGGTATGTAGGTATGTATGTTGGGATTGCTGTTTATCTATATAGCATAATATAGATACGGTATCTGCAGGATCAGAATTTCCAGTCCTTACCTCCTGAAATCTCATTGCAGCACTGGCACTGAACATTCTGCAGAAAAGTAAAGTGACCTTTCTGCTTCCCACAGTCCTAACTGGCCTGAACCTGGGTGTTTGTGCTGCAAGCTGGTGCCCTGGGCCTTCCCATTGGGGAGGTAGGGAGCAGTGGGATTCAGGCTAGATCTTCACAATAGTGTGCCCTTTTAGGAGCCAT